ACTGTGCCAAAAAGAAATGGTTGATGTTCAACCATTTCAACAGGTAGCCTAAGATCAAGAGCCAGTGATGCATTGGTGCACTAAAGGTACTGGCAAAGAACAAGGCACTGGGAATTGATGGACTTAAAATTGAAATCTTTCAAGAAACTAATACAGCCCTTGAAGCACTCATTTATCTATCCCAAGAAATTTGGAAGACAATACCTGGCCAGCTAAGTGTAAGAGATCCATATTTGTGCCCATTCCAAAGAGAGTTGACTCATTGGAATGTGGAAATCATCAAACAATATCATTAATAATGCATGCAAATAAAATTTTGCTAAAGATAATTTTAAATGACTGCAGACATGCATTGACAGGCAACTTCTTGAGTTTCAAGATGAATTCAGAAGAGGCCGTGAAACTAGGGATATTATTGCTGATGTCAGATGGATCTTGACTGAAAACAGAGAATACCAGAAAGTTGTTTACTTGTGCTTTATTGGCTACGCAAGACTGAATTGTGTGGATCTTGACAAGCTATGGACAACATTGCGAAGAATGAGTATTCCAGAACACTTTATTGTGCTCATGGCCTCATGTACATAGACCAACGTGCAGTTATTTGAACAGAACAAAGGAATATGAAATTTTTTTTTAATTAGGAAATGTGTGTGCCACAGTTATATTCTTTCACCGTACTTACTCAAGTATGGTGAGCAGATAATCTGAGAAGCTCAATTATATGAAGAAAAATGTGGCATCAAAATTGGAGGAAGACTCATTGACAGCCATCTGTGATATGCAGATGATCCAACTTTGCTTGCTGAAAGTGAAGAGGATTTAAATACTTACTGATGAAGATCCAAGACCACAGCTTTTGGTATGCGTTGCACCTCAATGTAAATAAAACAAAAATCCTCACCACTGGACCAATAAACAACATACAATTAAATGGAGAAAAGATTGAAGCTGGCCAAGACTTCATTTTATTTGGATCACCCATCAACACTCAAGGGTGCAGCAGTCAAGAAATCAAATGACATATTGCGTTAGGCCAATCTGCGGTACAGGATTCTTTAAAGTGTTCAAGAACAAAAGATGTCAGTTTGAGGACTAAGGTGTGCCTGACTCTTAGTAACCTCATATGCATGTAAAAGTTGGAAAGTGAATAAGGAAGCCCATAGAAGAATTGATGCATGTGAGCTATGGTTTTGGAGGAGAATATTAAAAGTATAGACTACCATAGACTACCAAAAGAACAAACCAATCTGTGTTGGAAGAAGTACAGCCAGAATGCTCCTTGAAAGCCAGGATGGCCAAATTTTGTCTCTAATACTTCAGACATATTATCAGGAAGTACCAGTCCCTGGAGAAGGACATCATGTTGGTAATGTTGTAGGATCAGAGAAAAGGAGAGAGACCACCAACAAGATGGGTTGGCACAATGGCAGCAGCAAGAGGTCAAACATTGCAACAATTGTGAAATTGGTGCGGGACTGGGAAGTGTTTCGTTCTGTTGTGCATTGAGTTGCTATGAGTCAGTACCTACTCAATGACACCTAAGAACAAATCCATTGTGCTCCACATGGCCTGCCAGGCAGTTCCCGAAGAATGTGTAGGGTCTGCTGGCTGAGAGCCCTCAGTGAGCTCTGAAAACCCAGTCGTCTGCCGGTGTCTATAGAAGAGGTTTACTTTTCCTGCTAAGTCCCTTACTTAATACCTTGCATTGAAATCCTAGAAGAAGTTTTATCCTCAGTGCACTGCCCAGGCTTTGACAGACCTCAACTAGTGGTCTTTGTAGCCCTCTAGAAAGGAGATAAACTATAGGCTGTTTCATTCCAAATTTCCAAACATGTGAAGCTGTAAGTAATGTAGATGTTTTGCCTATTAAATTACATTATGTAATTTGAGGATTTAGATGTAACTCATGGCCTCCCACCCCTATCATTTTCAAGTCGCATCTAATTGTATAAGATGTTAAAATCCATAATTGGGCTGGGTCAGTTTCTTAGCAGTCAGATGACTGTAGCAAAAGCACACCTGTAGGATGTGGCTACTTCTGAACCTCTGTGGAGTGACGCCCCATGCAGAATCCAGTGTCTTACCAGAATGCTCACAGTGGTCGCAGCTCAGAAGGGGGCTGGGCAACAGGGATTTTACTGTTTGTTCTAGGTATTTGTGTGTTACAAAATCTTAAAACTAGAATGTACAGTATTTGAATATTTTCCAAAATGTGCTGCTGCTCGTTAAGTGCTGTCGAGTTGGTTCTGACTCATAGTGATCCTGTATAGGGTTTTGGAGGAGTAGCTGGTGAGTTTGAACCCCACCTTTTAGTCCAGTGCTTATCCTATATAGGACCACACCAGGACTCCTGGCCTGTTTAAAACAAAAAATTATCAATTCTGCAGCTTAAGTTTAAGAAACTTAAAAACATCAGTGTTACTCTATAAAGAAAATTGTGTCTTTCCATCAAAATTACCTTTAATACTTATTATGATGTATAAGATGTAACCTTGTTAATTTGTTCTAAAAATGGACACTTCTATTTTTCTAGGTTTAACGCTCGAGGTCAGGAAACATCAATTACTCATTCCTCAATAAGTGTCTATGATTTTTAATGAACTTATTGTTGAAGTTATCAGTAGTTGATTGTTTCTTTCTTGTTGAAGAGGTCCTCTTGACTTTTCCTTTGGCATCAGTGACGCTAGATTACCTCTCAGTAAATATGAGAGGGCTTCAAAAAGTTTGTGGAAATATTACATTACTTTTTATTTCCATTCACATGATTTTTTTGAAGCCCCTCATAGGTGGGACACCCTGTGTGGCCACGCTATAGAATAAACACTGGACTGCTAACCCCAAGATCAGCTGTTCAAACCCACCAGCCACTCCTTGGAAGCCCTATACAGGTCACTGTGAGTTAAAACAGACTCCATGGCACTTAACAACAGCCACAACATAGTAGCTAATTGAATGAAGGCAGAACCATACCTTTTCACTCACAAATAGATGTTGAGAGAATTTTTTAAATGCAGCAAAAACAACATAAAGTTTTAGTATGTTTTCAGTGCTTTGCTAATGTTGAAGATGTTCTTGCAACATGATTTTTTTAAGTGATTGTTTTCTGTTGATCTTGCGTAATCACTTATCACTTTTGAAGAAACAAAGAGTTACTTATACAGGAGGGAAAAACCCATTTTGTTTCAACTAGGACTTTTGCTAATTGCTATTAACATTACAATTATCCCTCAAACCAGCCCTGCATGTGACCAACCGTATTTAATGTTATTTGAACAAACTTATGAGGAGCCCTGGTGATGCATTTGGCTAAGCGCTCACTGCTGAATAAGAGGCCGGCAGTTTAAGCCCATGTGAAAGATGTATCACTCTCTTCTCTTAAAGATTTACAGCCTTGGAAAGCCTATTATGCTGTTCTACTTTGTCCTACAGGGGTGCTATGAGACGGAATTGACGCCAAGGCAATGGGTTTTATTCTAATATGCTAACCCAGATGTGAGCCCTAGTGTGGCACTGTAGGACAGGCATAGGACTGATAACCACAAGGTTGGCAGCTCAGACCCACCAGCCTCTCTTAGAACCCCGTAGAGGGTCGCTGTGAGTCAGAACCAACTCAGCACACAACAAACAAACAAAACCCAGCATGCTGGCTTACTGATGAACAGAGATTGAAAGTGAACGAGAGCTACCCCTGGTACTTTTTTTGCTTTAGTTAGACTTTGAGCCAGTATTTTTACAGATGAGATTCAGTGTGTTATATCTTTAAAGGCTATTTATTGCAAAGAAATGCAATGGAGAACATTGGGAACAAAAAAAGATAAATCTGCACTTGATAAAAAGCATGTTTTCCAAGTTTAGCAGCCACTATGATCATTGTAAAGGAGAGAATCAGAGGAATTGTTTTCTTCAGATACTCCATGGTGTTTGAATACGATAAATACCAGCAAGCCATATAATAGTAGGAAGCCAAATAATCAAAGAGAAATTCAAATCGATTTATTTATTTTTTGAGGAAAATAAAGAAGTGATTCCTTTCATAGCCTTTGTGCTCATTTCTCTATGGAAACTTGATGACCTCAAGTCAGAAATAAAACTTTCACAGAAGAAACGCAGCAGAGCCCAGATAATGGTACCATTTTTGAGCTGAGAGTCAGATCTGGACACATCTTGCGCAGTAGCTGAATGCCGCTCAAATGGGGACTCTGACTCAATGTAACCTTGAGTCCAGTCTCTTAGTAAGCTAGACTCTCCAACTGTTTCAGACCAAAGGATGCATGATGTGATTTTAAAGGACCCTGCCATCTGAGTGAAGCTTTTTTCTTATAAGCTGTAGGAGTCATGCCTTACCGAAATAAATGTTTTCAAAATAAAATAAATGGACACGCATAATAAGCAAATATTCATGCTCTTTTCTTTTCACAGGGATTATCAGCCTAGAAAGACGGCCTTGTCACCATCACGTAGATACGGCACCAACAGTAAGGCTCCTGATTTCTGCATTGTTAATACTGATAGGAAGCTACAAAATGACACTGGTTACGGTCACACAGAAATGCCGATGGAGGAAACTTCTGTAACCTCCCTTTAGCCAAAAGTTATATCCCCTCAAGGAAATAGCCTCACGTTTTCTGTTCAACAAAGGAAACTTAGTGATTTTTGCTCTTTTTGTCAGGATAGGATAAGTACTGTATTATTTTTATGGGTACTTAACATTTATAATGATGTTTATGAGATTTTTTTTCAATTTTATGATATTTCTTGGCTTTGGTAAAGTAATGTAATTTTATGCAAATTTATGTAAGCCTTTTTTAAAATCAATTTTGGTTTATGTCCTGCCGTTATTATTTAGGGCAATTGTTTTGTAGTAATGAAAGGAGGCAACTACAGCTTCCTTTGCTTTGGTAAAGACGGGAATCTCGCAGAATCAGAAGACATTTAACAACTACACTATCTGTTTAACCTTTTCCCAAAAATTGTAGAATGTAATATAGAAAGTAAGAGAATTAAATTTTCCTTTAATTTTTAGTCTCTGAATATGAATAGATGGATGGATGAATGGTAGCGTTATGTGCCGTGGAGTCAATTCTGACTCCTAGTGACCCTACACAGGGTTTCCGAGGCTGTAAATCTTTACGGGAGCAGAAAGCCTCATCTTTCTCCTGCAGAACAGCTGATAGTTTTGAACTGCCAACCTTGAGGTTCACAGCTCAATTCGTAACTACTGCACTACCAGAACTCCTTGGATGGATGGATAGATAGTATAAAATATGTATCAGTTGCTAGCTTCTAGTTGGGATGGTATAAACTAGAGTACATCTTATTCTTCCCTAAATATGATCTTTCTATTTCTTATCCATTCTGAACAATAAGTTTTAAATAGCCCACATGATTCAGTTTTCCTATTGTAGAAAGATTTGTTAATACCACTTTTTAAGAAAATCAAGATTTATTATTAAGCTGTACTTTAAGTTTATCATAACTTTTCTATTTATGATAAATCCACATAATTGATTTAAGCTATTTTATAACTTAATATGTGGAGCTCCAAAAAAGTCCAGTGTCTTGAGAAATTACTCCTCAGCCTAATCATAAAACAGACTATTTTGCTAGACTGAATGTTTTAGTTAGCCTTTAATTGTTGCTGTATAGGGTTTCCAAGGAGTGGCTGGTGAGCTTGAACCAATAACCTTTGCAGTTCAAACTGACCTGGCAGTCCAGCGCTTATCCTACAGCACCACACCAGGACTCCACCCTTACAATAAGCCTGCTAAAAAAGTAACCATAACATTATGTAAATTTATTATGTAATATTGAAAATGGAAAGTTAACAGTTAAGAGAAATAAATTACCTTAAATATATTTGACTAATATATTTAGTCATTGGATTATTTAACATACTTTTGAAATGTATTTTATTCCTGTAGGCTTCACTGTGGCACCTGTGTTTACATTTCTGCTTTGTTTGCACATTCTGGAACTCAGAAAAACGCAAACTGGCGCAGTTTATCTTTCACCCTCTAGGCTGATTGTAGATATCCATGTTAATTAAATGATGAAGTCACAGAACTAAATCCTGGTGATATAAAATCATGAGAAATAATGGTATTCTCGGTAATAGTTCTTGTACTTGCATTGAATCAGTTCCAACACATAGTGACCCTGTATATGGATTCCAGGGCTCATCTAGTGGCTTTGAACTGCTGACCTTGTGATTAGCAGTCTAGTGCTCATCCTACAGCGCCACACCAGAACTCCAATCATTAGCAGTACAATTCTCTAATGATACCTAAAAAACACTATGATTTAGGAACAAATTATACAACTTAGTAGTTTAGGTATTTGTGACCTTTTGATAATGCTTGTCCACCCCAACAAAATCCACTACTGTTTAGTTGTTTCCAACCCATGGCATCACAATTAGACTAACTCTGTAAGGGGGCAGGCAGGTCAGTCCCGACCCATGGCATTGCATTTAGACTAACTCTGTAAGGGAGCAGGCAGGTCGGTACCGACCCATGGCATCGCATTTAGACTAACTCTGTAAGGGGGCGGGCAGGTAGGTACCGACCCATTGCATCACATTTAGACTAACTCTGTAAGGGAGCAGCCAGCCTCAGCTTTCTCCTTTGTTCCAGCTGCTAGGTTTGAACCCCCAGCCTTGCACCTCAGCAACTAACCCATAGCACATGTATGGCTCATTATGCTTGTTGAGTTGGATGAATTTAAATAATCGCTCCTAATATTTTAATGAGGAGTACAGTGGCCCCATAAAGTAAGCACTGGACTGCAAACCACAAGGCTTATGGGTGGAGCCTGCCAGCTGCTCCGCAAAAGAAGATAAGGTTGTGTGTCATTTCCAACTCCGTGTCACTTAACAACAAGAGCAATATATTAATGCCTCCACTTGTCTGTCATTTTGTCCTGCTGTGGTGGCTTGCATGTTACTGTGTTGCTGGAAGGTACCCCACCAGTATTTTAAATACCTGCAGGATCACCCATGGTGGGCAGCTTTCAGCGGAGCTTCCGGACTGAAACAGACTAGGAAGAAGGAGAAGCAGACAGCTTTTGAATGTGTAGCCACAGTATGAATAGCAGTGGAACATTGTCAGATTGTAATGCAGGAAAATGAAAACCTGTTGAATAGCAGCAGTGGGCTCAAGCATAACAATTGTGTGAGGACGGTGCCGGATCCTGCAGGGTTTCATTGGGTTGTGTATAGGGTCGGTACGAGTCAGAGCCCACTTGACAGCACCCAACAACAGCAAGCACAATGCAGTAATAGCATGTGCACGCTGAAACCAATGCATTTTGATATATTTGGCTTATACAGGAAGTCTACAAACATCTTGTATTTTCCCAAGTTGTGACTTGACACAAGATCCTTTTTTGATGTATTTGTCTGAGGCAACATTAGCTGCATTTCTTCTAACACTCAACAAGGCATGGTGTGGCACTGTGATAATGCACTGGACCGCAAGGTCGGTTTGATCTAGAAAGTCTGTGGCTCAAACTCACCAGTGACTTGACGGCACTTAATAACAGCAACAGCAAAACATGTTCTGGTGTGGTACTGTGGGATAAGCACTGGACTGCTAACTGCAGGTAGGCAGTTCAGACCTGCAGCTGCTCCTCAGAAACCCTGTACCCGAGTCACTATGAGTCATAACTGACTTGATGGCACCTACCGACAACAAGCATGTTCTGTTATCCCTCTCCCCAACATTCGTCCAGCTGCTGACAGTTAACTTTGGTCCTTCCTTCCGAACCTCTAAAGCAGAGGTAGGGAACCTTTGTTCTGCTAAAATTTGTAACATCTTTCGAGGGCCATACAAAGTTATCAACTTAAAAATTAGCCTGCTATATCTGGTCAAGCTGGTATGGTGCTGTAGGATAAGGTCGGTTCGAACTGCAAGGTGGATGGTTCATTCCCATCAGCTACTCCTCAGAAACCATATACAGGGTCACTATGAGTCAGAACCGACTCTCTGGCACTTAACACCAACAACAACAACATTGTGATGGCTGGAATTGCGGTTGCTTGGGCAGAGTCAGACCAAATGGTTGTGCAAACCTTGCGCAGCCTGGTGGCTGGACGTTCCCACCCCCTGCTCTAAAGAGAATCAACAACAGCCTGATCTTTACCCTGGTCCACACCAGGTAAAGTCTGATTTTCTTAAAAATAGAACTTTTCCTAATTTCTACTATACAAACCTTTTTATATCCTCATTTTCCTGAAAAGATTTAAGACAAAAGTGCTGGGAGCTAGGGGAAATGGGAAGGTGTCTGTCTGAAAATTTTAACAAGTCTGAAAGCTTGACTCACTGGCCCCCAAAACAGAGAAATACCATGATTTAAAATTGATTTTCTTAAAACTGCTTAATGACTCGAACTTTCCTATATACCGTGAGCCAGCTGGCACTTTTACAATGCCAAATTTATCTCTCTACAGAAGCTTTGATGAAGGGTCTTGTATTTAACACCCGTATTTAAACTTGTTGTTGTTAGGTGCCATTGAGTTAGTGCCAACCTATAGCAACTCTATGCACAACACAATGAAAACTGTACTGTCCTGTGCCTTACAATTGTTGCTGCCACTGTGTCAGTCCACCTCTTTGGGGGGTCTTCGTCTTTCTCGCTGACCCTCCGCTTTACCATGCATGATATCCTTTCCAAGGACTTGTCCCTCCTGGTAATGTCTGAAGTATGAGAGATGAAGTGTCACCATCCCGGCTTCCAAAAAGCATTCTGGCTGTGCTTCTTCCAACACAGATCTGTTTGTTCTTTTGGCAGTCCGTGGTACTTTTAATATTCTCCTCCAACACCTTAACTCAAATGCATCCATTTTTCTACTGTCTTCCTTATTCCCTGCCCAATTTTCACATACAGATGAACGTATTGAAAATAGCATGGATTGGGTCAGGCGCACCTTAGTCCTCAAACTGATACCTTTGCTCTTCAACACTTTGAAGAGGTCTTGTGCATCAGATTTGCCTAATGCAATATGTACCATCGGCATTTCTTGCCTGCTGCTTTCCTGAGTGTTGATAGTAGATCCAAGCACAATGAAGTCGTTGACATTTGTCATGATGCTATTTACTGATTGAGTTGTGAGGATTTTTTGTTTTCTTTACATTGAGGTGCAATCCAGACTGAAGGTTGTGGTCTTTGATTTTCATTGTTGTTAAGTGTGGTTGAATCTGTTCAGATTCATAGTGACCCTCCATAGGGTTTTCAAAGTGCAGCTGGTGAGTTTGAATCGCTAACCTTGTGCTTCAAACTGACCTTGGGGTCCAGTGCTTTATCCCACAATGCCACACATTAGTAAGCCATTTTAAGCCCTCTTCATTTTCAGCAAGCAAGGTTGAATCATCTGCATATCACAGGTGGTTAATGAGTCTTCCTCCAATCCTTATGCCACGTTCTTCTTCATATAACCCAGTTTCCTGCATTATTTGCTCAGTATACAAATTGAATAAGT